TCCTTGAGTTTCTTCCGTTGCTGGCGTGCAAGGCACGTTGGAAGAAATAGTTCGCAAAGTGATCGACCTTAGTGCTCAACATAGCAAGATCAGAGTCTCGGATGTGATTCGAGACGCATGACCTTCTACGGATTCCTACGATATTTAACCAACGAGAGGTTATTTTAGCGACATTTGGTTTGTCACGCATTCCTCTCAATAACATTTGCGTTTCGCGGCTGTCCGAGATCAGTGGAGGCACTTAGATCGAAAAAAAGATCGAAAAAAAGCAGAAAATTTTTGGAAAAACCGTTTCAATTTTTGACGAAAACCGAAAACCAAATGCTAAACCACGTAAAATCCGCAAAACGAAATGAACAATCCGATCTGCTCCGGCCGGTCATCCCATAAGGTCATACAAGATTATCTAAGGTCATTTTAGGAATCACTCAAGGTCATTGTAGGTCATTTAGGTCGTTTTGTGTCATTTTAGGTCATTCCTTAGGTCATAAATTTGCATTTACTGTATGACTAGCTGCTGTCAGCAAAAGTATATCAGAGTTGATGAGAATGTTTCTTTAACAAAATCCTTCGTTCTCAAAACGGTGGGCAAAATAAACTATACTAAGCGTAATTGCGCGTGTCTTGGTTCAAGCAGGAGTGCCTGTTTAAATTCAATTAGTGATTAAAAAATCATCCCGTTGTGATAATTTCGCTTCAACATTGTTACGTTTGTATTAAGAAGAAAGATGGTTCCAAATTACTAGGAAACGATCTGAACGAAAGGTGTATTTAAACCGTTTTCTTCTGATCGGTGAATTGATCTAGGAGCTTTTAGGACCTAGGTCCTACACAAAGCGAGGTCATTACGGGCTGATATATTTTTTCCTCGACAGAGACATTTTCTCCATTTTTTTATTCGTGAAATCTGTTCACCTATGAACAAACATTGGTCATAATTAATGGTAACGTCTGAATCGAGGCAATCGAGTTGGGGTAAATTTTGTCATTGTTCAAAGCGGCCTGAAACGACCTTACAACGTTGGGATAAAATTTTGTTAACACCAGATATTTGCCATATTTTTTGTAATAAGTATTAAAAGGAGGGGACGATATTTTTATGACTATCACGAAATGTTGAGGAATCTTTTCGATAGAACTCGAGTTGAAGTCAAAAGATCACCCTCGATCCGCCATTTTGGCAAGTATGGGCAGACCAGGTGCGATTTCCAGTTCTTTTCGTAAGCAAAAACAGTTGGAACATTCTTATATCAATTTCGTAATTAGAACCCTAAAACAAGACTTCATGCTAAATCTCAGCCATATCGGTGAAATGAAATGGCCGACGAAAGTTCGAAAGTTACAGACTATCGAACCTAAATGGAATCTTTTAGATGATTTTTTCGTGAACTGTATTGTTTAAAACTGCTGTTTCACACTTATAGTGGACTGCTTCGTCACCGTATTTTCAGCTTCCGTTTTGTTGTTATTCATTGTTATTTTTTTAATTCCCTCAATTCCCCACTTCCTACAGTACCCCTTAAAACTATGTGAAGGCCCCTTCTCTTACCTCGTTTATGCTATTGATTCCTGCTTGATATCTTGTCATTCTACGATGATGATTGTTCCATAAATAAAGAAATAAATTGAAAAAAGTAATAATACTAATAATAACAAATTTATGATATGCACTATTTTTGAAAATTTCAGAATGTTAGTTGCTGGTAAAAACATTTCTACGAATAGCTAAAAATATTCGTTTCTTCAAAATGTTGATACATTTCTTGATTTTGTTCATTGCAGGTAATGATATTAATAAAGGGTAGTGACTAGGATGGCAACTAGGATTTGTACCAGAATTTCAAAGACTATCTACATCAATTTTACCCTGAACTTAAAAAAATCGTCCTTTTAACGTGCGCGCCACCACGATGTTGAAGTAACTTCCCATAAACGGAAACACATTTTAATTTTCTATGGCACTCTATGATAATTGAAAACCCACCTTTTTATTTCTTTTTTTGTCTTCCTACTCGTTACAAAATCGGAATATAATGGACTTACTTAAAGCTTCTTATCGATAAGTGATATTGCCAGACGGGAGCAGTAAATCATGGAGAAGGAACATGATTCACAGAAACTTCTTACCAGAGAACCAAAATAAACATCGCTATGGTAACTCAACAAAGCATCACAATCTCAGCTGTTGTACATATCTTTCAGCAAACAAAAGAGGAAGACGGAAATATTCACAGAAATATGGATATGAAAGGTGTCGCAGAGGTGAATTGGCTGAATTAGCTTGTAACAAGGCCGCATGATAATCAAAACTTATCCATCACGAATATCATGATACACAGGAAGTTCTTACCACCACCAAAATAAACAGTGGTTGCATGATAATTTGGCAAAGTTTCACAATGCCAGCTGTTGTGCATGTGTAAAAACGATAACCCAGCAAACCATCAAATGAATTCTTCATTTTCACAAATTAGGTTTACATCTATCCATTTATTTAACGCACGCATTTTTAACGACGAACCAATTTAGTCAATTACATTATGACACAGAACTTTTGCGAGCTTTACCGGTCTAAACATCTTACAGATTTTGTTATGAATATAAAGTTGTAGGAAGGTTCATGACCTAAGACATTTCTTTCTTTCTTTTTGTGCTTATCATTTAACAAATTTCATTTATCATTCCTGAAATGGGACGACAGTATGGACATGAAAGGTTTCTTGAAGGTGAATTTGCTGACGATTTACACTGCTGCATAATTATAACTGTTATATATGAATTTTTCATGATAGCATGTCAAGTCACAGAAGGATGTGACAAAACTTAATTATGGCAATTGACAGGCAAATTATTGCTGAACCGAGCAGCATTCTAAACAAACATTTTTACTGGTAGAAACTAAGGCACAAAAGCTGACATGCGAAATAATTTGACTGCTATTGGTTAAACCAGCGCCAGCCTAATTTCCATTGTTTCAAACTTCCCGTGTCATGATAAGTTATATTAAGTAAAGAATTCGTTTCTTGACCAGAACTTTTCTAATCGTTATCTGTATCATGTATTCTGTTTCTGTCTCCCTTCTCTTATTGGAGCTTTGCTTTATGATGCAAAGGGCTGTCAGATCACAAGGTTAGTTTCAGTATGACTTATATCCAATTCAGATTTACCTTTGGTTCGAGTATTGGTGTTTTTTTTCTTCTTTTTTTTAGGAAACGTTTTATTCAATAATAAGAATTCGTCATCAAGTCAGAAAATTAGCTTTATCCACCTATATTAACTTAAGAATTGTCGTTAAAATATTCAGTTATCAACGCACAGATAGTACTTTGAAGAAGTATGACATTTTCGTGTGCGAATGTGCATTAATTAGGTAAGAATTCTACAAAACGAAACACGATGACAAAACTTCTGCCGATGAATTTGAACCCCCTTAGTCGTCTTCCTCCACTGACCCTAGCTGTTCAGTGATTGCCTGAGTTGACATACTCTCATAATAACACCCGTGACACTTTCGAGGGTTTGTATATCCCTTTTCGTGTAGAAATAAAATAGACGAAGAAAAAAATTCAAGTCAAATACAATTGATAATGAATTGTCACCTACCAAGTTTTCCGAAATTCTTAACATTTCATCATAAGCAATAACGTTACGTTTAATATATTATCATTTCCATTTCAAAGACGTCTGTATCGCAGACCAGTGTGGTAATTTGGAATTTGGGCCTGAGAAAGCATTTCAAGGGAAACGCCTCATAAACCACACAATTCGCACCGTAGAAATAACAGTTTCCAAGTTCTGTGAAAACTTGTGTTATATGGAGCCCGACTGTGTCAGCATTAATCTTTATACATGGGGAGATGGAAATGGAAACCATTAATGTGAACTGAACAATGCTACTCATGAAGGACACGAAAAAAAGTTGATAGACCAAGAGATGTATTCTTATCACGCAGCTGAGGTAAACGTATCTTTCGATTTAAGAGTACGAGTGGTTTATTTTGTTTTTTTTTTTTAAACTCTGAGTCTCGTGTTCACCTATAATTACGAACTTGAGTTTCCTTCCCTCTTTCAAGACATTAGCGGTAATACTGTGTCTGTGCTCTTAACCAGAATCTCCTCAAAGAGAAAGCATTTCAAAGTTATTGGAGAAATATAGAAATAGCAGAAGAACTATGATGACAAGGATAACGATGACGATGTTGATGATGGTAGCGGTGCAGTTGACTATTAGATGTTGAAAATGATTTTAATGATGATAATGATAATGACAATGACAACGGTTTGTTTTTTCTGTTAGAGCAATTGTGTTCAAAATTCTTGTCAGAACAATGCCACTTGTCAAAGTTGATTTGCTAAGAAAGGTTATCGGTGTCTTTGTACCGCTGGATTTGAGGGTCTGATTTGCGAAAGAGGTATACACAACTTCAATGTTGATGGCTTGAAGCCTTCAGTTTAACAACAAGGAAAAACTTTACCGCGTTGCTTGTTAATTGGGTCCCGAAGAATAATAAAGCTTCTACTATCCTCATGTAGCTTAGAGCTCTCTTACTAGTCAGTAAGAACCGAAGGACAACAGGCCTTTGTCGCAGTTTCTTCACCAACACAACTAAATGGCGAATTTTTGATTTTTAGTCTTTTTTTTTTCTCGTCATCTCCCTTCTCCTTATTCGTCTTCACATATCTTTTTCTGAGCTGCACTGAAAGTGGACAGAGATAATAGTAAAATCATGAGCCAAAAGCAAAAAGTAGAACTTTCCGGATCAAAAACAGAGGGAATATATGACTGTTTCGCCGCTCATCTGTACTGCTTGTGACTTACGAGGTGGCTGTTGATCGATTCATTTTGAATACATTTTTTTAAGTCTGTAAAAGGGAAATTGATGTGTAGTGGTCATGAGAAAACAAAAACTACGTTTACCCAATTATTGTTGATTTTACAGTTGCTGGTCCTTTTTTTTTTGTACGATAATTTTGTTTTTATATATTTGTGAATTGTTTTTTGTTCAGACATCAACGAATGTGTTCGTGGGCTACACCAATGCAGCTCTGATGCGTTTTGCAACAATACTCAAGGTTCGTACAATTGTACATGCAAACATGGATTTACCGGAAGTGGACGAGAATGTAAAGATAGGCGTTGGATTCATTAGCAATAATGTGATGAAAAAATAAAGCTTATTTTTGCAAATTATTGTGACGATAGGTTTTCGCTCCAAACTGGGAAACTGACTCTTCGCGGACGGAACAATAACAACTGGGGGAACAAACTCTGTAGAGACGACTTGGCAGCGAGAACGGAAACTCGTCACGATTTCCTGGTACACGGAGATCTGCTTCGAGCGAGCTTATACGGACGTCAAGGATAAGGCAATCTTTGGTTCCACAGTACTTTTATTCTAGGTCAGGCCAACAAGCGACATGACCTCTAGCATACTCTAGTTTGTAATCATCAAAGCTGTACAAGGTACTTGCTTAAAAAGTAACTGGTGCGAAGTGCTATTGTTACACAAATCGCAATATTTGAATAAGGACACAAAGGAGCGGAAAAAATATCTCTTTGAAGTTAAACGAAAACTACCTAAATATTCCATCTGTTTCTACGACGGATAGAATCTCAAAATTAAAAAGACGGATGCAATAAACTCTAGGCCATTAAAGTAGGAAACCTAGGTGCGAATTTACAGCTCTGGTATAGAAAACAATACCTATCTTAATTGCAGTAGCGCAGCTTAGGAAATAGAAAACGGAAAAGCAATTAAAAGTTTCTGCTTATTTACCCAAGATTGGTTTGGAAACCATTGCATGAAAAGAAATTAAAGTTACGAGTATAAACTCAGCTGCTATCTACCATGAAAACCAATGTTTCCAGAAAGACCATTAACACTTATATTTACCTAAAAAAAACCATGTAATAAAAAACAAAAGTGCCGACAAGCAGGTGTATATGATGAAAGCGAGTAACAACAAAAATCTATTCAAAAGCTACTGTGGTTTTTTATGCTTTTTTTGATTTATTGAAATGAAAGGACTTGAAATGGTTAAATGTGAAAGTTTACGAATAAATTTGTTCCGAATAACACACACGGGAAAATCAGTAAATTTTCCCGTAACATTATCCACAAAGGGATGATAACTTACATGTTGATCCCCTCAACAGGAGAATATATGTTAAAATTAGACGCGCGCAGAGACTTATATAGCCGAAATTACATTGAAAAAGATTATTCTTGATCACCAAAGTATTTTTGCACCTAATGGAATCAATCTACTGATCACTGTTTCTTAGTTTCACTCATCCTTTGTTGGACAGACGGTCGTATGGCTACAGAAACCTATATGATGTTCTCAACAACAAATATTAATGCTGTTCAAATCAAATACGAATATCAAGTAATGCTGCTGACCTTTTAAAACTTTCGGGGAGGGGATGGTGGGGGATAGGTAGAGAAGGATTCTTGGAGGACTATAGAACATTTAATGCCATTTAACTTGCCAATGATTTTATCGTGACACAACCACACTCAAATTTTTTTCTATATACAAAGAGATCAGAATTTCTTTAAAGAATAGCAACGTCTATCATCCTTCATTCACTTCACAAATGATTATATTTTCAATGAATCTTGATTGACGTGCAAATGAAAACACAGAAAAACTCCTTATAACTAGATACATATATCATGCACTGATCTACGGCGCCGGGTATTATTGGGTATAATTGACGTTGGTAATTACGACACCATGTCGTAACTACCAAGGTCAATTCATCGGTAAAACAAATGAGTAATTGATCGATAAATTCAGATACACAACAGGACTTCGACAGAAAATATCCATTAATTCGGAGTAAATAAAAAAAAAGGAAATTAATTGCTCATTTATTTCAGACAACCTTCCATTATAAGGCGGATTACTGGATAAATTCATATAATCATAGCATATAATCTTCCCGGAGGAGAAACTGGGTTCGACGGACAAGAATCAAAGCTACCCACCTACTGGAACACATCCTTCTCCAGGATCTCTCTCGGTATGAAGATCCACCAACAGCTCAGGTTCATTGTCATCCACAAGCAAGCTGACTCTCTGTACTCACTGATCGCTGATGGCCAATACCGCGCCACCTCACTGGGTCGTGACGAGTGGAAAGAGTTGATTGGTTCCCGAGGCTCGTTACAGGTAAACTGCAACAAAGAAGGGTTCAATGCCGTTTGTACTAGGGAAGGACATTCTAAAGCCAGAATTGGTATTGTTAGCAACAACGAGAATGACTTTGTCACGCGCGACTCAAGGATTGGACTTGGCACAGGAGGTTACCATGACGATTCAAACACGTGTGGTAACGAGGCCGTGGTTTATTCAGATAATGGAGACAAACACATCAAAATCATGGGATACATCTTGGTCCAATAAATATGCCTAAAAAACTAATAATAAGTCAAATTTTTTCTTTACAGATTTTCCTGTTTCAAGCACAACCCCTCGGATAGGGACTTATATGCGCGTGTAACTTTAGTTTTACCCTGGATCAATCTCTAGCCATGCTTTCTATTAAGTTTACAAAGGTAAATTTGAGAGTTCAAACATTCTTTCATGTAAAACGACATATCAAATAGCATTCAAATAGTCTGATAACAGAGTTGTCCAACTCGCTTACTGAGTGGTAGAAAATATTATTAGCCAATAACTTTTTTTCTAATATTATCCTACAATTTCAGAAGGTGTAGCATAAGAGGAAGAGGTGGACGGGTCAAAATCTCTCCCCCCTGCGTTTCGATTGTCATTTGTATCGTTAATATCCTTAAAAGGATCGATTTGGAAAGGAACAGTTATGCTTTGTGGCATAAATGAAAATTGAAACGATACTTTAATAAAGTGGACTAGTTTGTTGGTGTATTGTCTTTAGTTGCTTTCGGTGAGATGTAGATGCACAGTTCTGGACTTATCAATAACTGCCTTGGACTTGCTGTTTAGATATAACAATCTTCCGTAACTAATATAATCCTGTCTCTCCACCAAATCGCCCGTTTGCATAGGTGCCCTCTTTTCTACGCTCTTTCTACTCTACAACTTTATTTACCCTTTCGGATATCACATAGAGAACAGTGTGGAGAATATCCATACTGATTTTAGGGCGCAAAGGGCTAACCTTGCAATAGATTGGCATACCACCCAATGGGGGCTGGAGGCAGAGTACGGAAAAACTCTTTGAGGCCCTGGTGAAAATAACAGGCCCTTAGTTGCTCTACAACAATAAAAGCTGGATAAGCTCTGGCAGGAACAGCCCTTTGACTTATGATCTAATATTACCTTTCACATGATTTCCATTTCTCAGCCAGTTTATTTTGTGAGAGCAGTCACAATGGTCCTAAATACTGTTTCGTCAGTTACTTAATGCGTATAAATAAGTAGCCTGGAAACTAGGGAAAAATCTCAAAGAAAGTTTAGCACAGAACAGCCTGAAAAATGTTATATCATCAATTTTAGCTAAAAAAATTTAGAAACAAATCTATTGAAGAAAATGTTCACAAGAAATAGAAACATGGATATATACATGGAAAACATTTCACCCAAACTTTTTACAAGGAGATAAATATTGGATTTAGTTATTTTGACTTATAATATCTCACACACCTGTAGTTTTAATTCTTAAAAGTATAATAACTATTTTACAGTGAAATTAGCAGAAAGCCTCTTCCAGCATTCAGGCATAGCATTTTCAAAACGTTCTGAAAACCTACTACTGTAGGTCCCATATACCCTTTTCACACCCTGGATCGTAGTGTAAGTTCTCCTTACCATCTGCTATACATTTCTTTCAATGTTAGTTCTGAGAAGGAGGTATTACATTAAAGATCCCTTCATCAAAAGGTAGATAATTTTCTTTACTCTCATCACCTTTTGCTTTATGGATTTATTGTTTCTGTTAAGATAAATTACTCATTTGATCTCTCCTAAGAGAACAACGGTAAAGAGGATGATGTAGGATTTTCTGGCATCCAAATTAAACCAGTATTGCACCGGTTTTACCTAATACTTCACCCAATGAATGGTAAATAAGACTATGGACACCCTCTCAATCAATCAAATGCAGTAGCTTATATTAAAACTAATCAAGACTAGGTGGTGAGCATTTTCCAGCATAGCAGACAGTTTGCATGTGTTCAATTTGAGAGTCCATTGCCTCTTTGGGTTTTTATTATTTGGTCTGACAGGTCCTTGTGATAACCTTGTTGTTGGTTTTTATTGCTTTCAAGTAAAAAGCCTTCTGGTTTTGGTTTAAAATACCTCAAGCAAAGGATGCCATGGACTTAAATCACACTTGATCTCACAGCCATTGATGATGCTCTCCATCTCCATGCAAGGCCATGAAGTAGTAATTTTCATGTAAACCTTATAAGGTTGCAGTATTAATAGAAACTTGGTCATAAAGGGCCAATAAGCTGGAAGTTTCTCATAACTGGCTTCTCACTGAAAACACGTTCACCCTGAAGCTGTCCTTTTATAGCAGCACACCAGTCACAAACTCTGACTGGGCGTTCCCAATCTCTTAAAGCCGCAGGTCTCCTTCTTTTTGAACAATTGCTACAGACACCCATACCACAGGCTCGGCAGTGATGTTTGGTATCACTTCCCTTGAACTCAGTTTTGCAACAGTTACAGGCTAAAATTTGGGAGTCTGGTACCCAGTATACTGGCCCTGCTGTATCAGTGATGAACCCCTTAGGATAAACAATGGCTGTTTTTTTAAAACACCCACAGCAGACTGAACAACCTCTGTTACTTTTTGGGCAGCTACTGGTCCAAAGGGATTTTCAGAATACAGACTGTGGTCATCTTCAGGGTGCAAACTTTCTTGAGGAGTTTCCTCTTCTACAGCATCTGATAAATCACTGTTCAAAAGAGCACAAAATATGTATTTAATATTGAAGAGAAATCACAACCAAGCTCAACCCTTGAACTCACGACCTAATTGTTAATTCTCCCCTTTAGCTGCCACACATTTCTCTCTAAATTAATTACAAGAATTTGGTGTTAGATTAAGATAAAAACATCCGGCTCATAAGTTTGAATACTCTCAAAACCTGTTTGCTCGATAATGTATGGATATCATAGAGAGAAGTTACGTGTTAAGAAGACATCCGTGCAAAAATCAAACAAAAATGAAATTTTTATGGCAAGGGTCAAAAATTGAAATTGTCTCAACTTTTTCACACAAGTTGACCCCAGTAAGACAAGAAAGACTGTGTATTTTTTTTCCTCAAATATGTTTTTATTTTCGAGAAAAACGAACTTTTCGCTCTCACCCTCTAGAATCGATGGATCGGGTCATAACAGGTCGAAAATTGAACACTTTCGCTCGCTTTGCATTTCAAAGATATTACGTCTAGTGAAATCTTATCAACGTTTACTCTTTCCCAGACTCCTCGTCTTCTGTAAAATGCAAGATGTGTAGGAATTGGTTGCTTAGAAGCTTTTAGCCATGCGAAAAAGCAATGTGCTCTCTTCCGTTACAAAAAAATGTCGGTGAAGAAAACCTCTTTTTTCACCATGTGCCATTATTCAGAATTGCTTTAAATTTCGTATGTAAATTGCCGAAGGTATGATTTTTAAAATGACGTAAAGTTTTCTTTGGGCAAATGTTTTCTCGCGACGCAGGAAACTCTTCAAAATAGCACACGGAAGAAATAAAATCACGCAATATGTAGATTGCGTGACCAAAGAGTTAAGGAGCATTCCTGCCTTTGAAATTACTCAAAATCGTATAGGAGAACTTTTATCAAAAACAAATAACAAATTTATACCCAGTTTTGTTAAATTAATCTGTCTTTTATCATTTTAAGTTTGTTTCTGCAGAGATACTCTGCCATTGTTCTGTCTAGTACGATTATGCACCAGTGCTAGTAACGGTATACGATTAAAAACTTTGCTGGTCTCTCGCCTACGAATCTTACGTTTCTGCCCCTTGTTTGACTTGCAAACCCGTGCCTTTTAACTAGCCTACGGTAAACGAAAATCCACAAAATGTTACCTTACAAAGGCCCCTGCAGGAGTTAAGTGAGGGCTTGCGTGACCTAATTTGCATAATTGTGGTACGAGTCGTCGTGCTCGTGTGACAGAATAATTTACACCTACGAGTGGGGTCGGTCGACGTCATATAAATAAGCACGAATACGAGGAAAAGAAATAATAAGTCTAGGTATCCATTTAGCTCTGTGTTTTCCTCAATTTTGTACTCGTGTTATTTTTTTTTCGCGTGAGTTAAACTATGATGTTTGTTGACTTTTCTATTTAAAAGCGAGACAATTAATTAAACTAAGAAAAATAATTATTTCCCGCCCCTTCTTAATCGGAAGTCTCGCTTGTGAATGAAATGGAAGCTTCTTGCTCATTTAAGTTTAGATTTGGAAGTGCTTGCTCGTACTACCGACGAGACAGGGGTAAATCATTTGAGGTGGTTCCCTTGGTGTCGTGCAATAAGGGTCATAAAAGTGCTTGGTTTTTTGCCGGAGTTGAGAACGAGAGTGAACTTATCCTTGCCCGAGCAGGTATTATTTACATGAGTGCAAAGGAAATAAATGCGTTAACGATTTGTCCATTCCACCGTTCTGAGCTTGGCACTGGATGGCGAAGGAGCCAAAATACCTGCAGAATTCCAGATGAGATCGCTTCCCACGGCAAAGGAAAATGTGTCAAGGGAGACAGAGGCGTTAGTAGAGCGATATCAAAAGTTATATTTCAGAGAATCGACGTCCTTGTGCCTCTAGGTTCAGGTATGGCTTTCATGAACCCTATTGCAAAAAGATAATTGTTGTGTAATATATGTGCTCTATTTATTCAGATATTGGTGCTTTTTAAGAAATGCAATTTTTCAGTAGACATAAATTATTGGCTGCGCGAGTCTTAAAATTGGCTCAGGTCCAGATTAGAGATGATAGGAACTCATACCTTGAATTAAGTACCTCGAAGGTTTGACGGCTACGGGCTAGGCCAAGTTTGTTCTTTCTGTATTACTTGCCTAAGATTTGTAGTCATTTTTTCGATCATGGGAAGGAAGAGCTCCATGTCAAAGTTAACTTTCACTGAAAGTCATTTTACTCGTAATCATTGTTGTCGTCATCGTCTTCATCATAATTGTCGTTATTATCATCATAAACATCATCAGCATCATTATTATTATCATCGGAATTATCATTACTGTTATCGTTTTCATAACGGTTTGTTCTACTACCATTGCACAGGTATCTGTAGAAAATGCAGAGAGAGTTTTGAAAGCAAGTTACAGATTGATGAACTAACGCTTGCAGTCAAGGATCTAAAGATGGTGAGCAATCTAATCGATAGGTTCAATTGAATTGCACCGCCTTTTTCTGAAGAAGTAAATAAAGTTAAACTAAAATTTATATTTGTTG